TTGGAGATTTGTGTTCTGCCAGTCCAGACGTCGATCAACAAAGGTTTGAATTTTGAACGAACATGGCACTACAATTATCATGAAAGATAAATGTGTGCCGAATAAACTCTTAGAAATTTGTTGAATTATCTATATCCCCAATCATTTCATTTTATCTCTGATTAACTAATTTTACAGATATCAGATTTAAATAAATCTTACGATTAACAACATTTTTAAACCACTACCTGACTACTGTCACGTAGTGATTGAAAAATCTAATAATTTCAACTTAAAGAAATATTATAATTATCATTATTACTCAACAAAAGGGATAGAGTCGAATTAGACTTTAGAATGAACTGGAAACCCAATCCTAAACAGGGGATAAACCTCTGTTGATAAGACAAGGGAGTGGGTGTGCCAAGGGAATGCTCACCTGAGTTTTGGATCCTTCATCTCTATCGCTGCTAGCTTTCATTTTATACCTGGAATGTAAACACAGTAATTTTCAAATTGATATATATTTTTTTAATCTGACTTTATTTTCTGACCTGAGGATAATACAGAACGCTACTAAATTTATTCTGTTGTTAATATTAGAATCTGAAAACATATTCAAAATAGGAAAATAGATTTGTTTTCGACTAATGAACGTTAATCAACGACAACATAAATAAATCCTCACTCGACGGTTTTATGCTTCAAGACAAATTTGTTTCTGTTTTAATATACTGGTCTATTTTGATAACCACAAGATTTAGGCATGTGGCAAATTACGCCAATCTGGTCATCGGGTGAATTTTTTTTCTTTTTCTTTTGGGAATTCATAGTAATTTGAAACACTTGCGAGCATTTATTAAAAAAAAAAGATTTACACAGAATATTTTAAACTATTAATATTTACCTAATTATGTTTGCATGCTATTTAAGTGTGTCTGTATTGTGAGAAAAGTTCACACAAATGAAAAGAAACAAAAATTGTTTCAAACTTTTTATACAGGATGTGATATAATTCGATAATATTTGTGATTGTTTTAACAAAGTCAGGAAACTGAGATAGATAGATAGATAGATAGATAGATAGATAGATAGATAGATGATAGATAGATAGATAGATATGAACAGACAGATAGATATGAACAAGCTGAGATAGATAGATAGATAGATAGATAGATAGATAGATAGATAGATAGATAGATAGATAGATAGATATGAACAGACTGAGATAGGTATGAATAGGCTGAGATAGATAGATAGATAGATAGATAGATAGATGAATATGAACAGACTGAGATAGGTATGAATAGGCTGAGATAGATAGATAGATAGATAGATAGATAGATAGATAGATAGATAGATATGAACAGACTGAGATAGGTATGAATAGGCTGAGATAGATAGATAGATAGATAGATAGATAGATAGATAGATATGAACAGACTGAGATAGGTATGAATAGGCTGAGATAGATAGATAGAGAGATAGATAGATAGATAGATAGATAGATGAATGTGAACAGACTGAGATAGGTATGAATAGGCTGAGATAGATAGATGTAGATAGATAGATAGATGATAGATAGATATGATCAGACTGAGATGGGTATGAATAGGCTGAGATAGATAGATAGATGGATAGATAGATAGATAGATGAATATGAACAGACTGAGATAGGTATGAATAGGCTGAGATAGATAGATAGATAGATAGATAGATAGATAGATATGAACAGACTGAGATAGGTATGAATAGGCTGAGATAGATAGATAGATAGATAGATAGATAGATAGATAGATAGATAGATAGATAGATGATATGAACAGACTGAGATGGGTATGAAATAGGCTGAGATAGATAGATAGATAGATAGATAGATAGATAGATAGATATGAACAGACTGAGATAGGTATGAATAGGCTGAGATAGATAGATAGATGGATAGATAGATGGATGAATAGATGGATGGATGGATAGATAGATGGATAGATGTGATCAGACTGAGATAGGTATGAATAGGCTGAGATAGATAGATAGATGAATAGATAGATAGATAGATAGATAGATAGATAGATGGATAGATAGATAGATATGAACAGACTGAGATAGGTATGAATAGGCTGAGATAGATAGATAGATAGATAGATAGATAGATAGATAGATAGATATGAACAGACTGAGATAGGTATGAATAGGCTGAGATAGATAGATAGATAGATAGATAGATAGATATGAACAGACTGAGATAGGTATGAATAGGCTGAGATAGATAGATAGATAGATAAGCGTAAAAAAATTAATTCTCATTTCTATTTTCAATTTTGGTCTGTTCACCTATAGTTGTAGTTATAGTAGTAGTAGTAGTAGTAGTAGTAGTAGTAGTAGTAGCAGCGGTAGTAAACATTATTTTATCTTGTGAGATAATGACAGCGACTTCTTTAATCAAAATGTCGTCCTTGCATAGTGAGACTATAGTGATTCCTCTAGGTCGCGTTGCCTGTGCTATAGTATATGGAGGCCGTGCACTGTCCAGATCACACGGCCCCCAATATCGGTCGTACCGAGAAGATCTATAAGAATAGAAGGTAATACATTTGCGCCGGTTTGTTTGCAGGAGTTTCCGAAAGGTTGTCACCGTTGACAGCCAACCGCGTTCGGGCTCCTCTTCGGATTTTCTGTCTGGATTTACTTCCACGGCCCTTTACCGTGTTTGAATATGACAACAAGCCAACAGGACGTTTAAAATCAGGGTTTTCCTTCCCTAAGATGAACGGCATTCCAGGCTGACGCGCTCTATCTACCCGAATACCCTCCTTGATTACGTCTCTTATTAAAAATGCGCGTGAATCAACATTTTTAGCAAATAATGCAGAAATGAATTAATATCGGGAAGCACCCTTTCCAATATCCAGTTCTTCATTAAAAAGTCCTTCAGGATTTTGTCGATCATGGCTCTCCATAACTTCATTCCCTGTTCTGCTATGCATTTACACAACCTCGTTAGATAGATTACTTTCTTCTGTCTCATTTGCCCACCATATGTCTTGTGAGTGTCTAATCCTCGAAGCTCATTTTCCTCTTATCACATTTTCCGTCCATGGTATTCTCAGCAGCCGTCTGTAGAAATATATTTTTGTTGCCTCAGATCTTTCCTTCATCTAGGAGGAGATTGTCCAGCACTCACTGCCCTGTAGAGGAGAGGGACCGAACAGATGAGTGTCCATAAGACTATTCTTTGATTCTAACGAAATGTTCCCGTTTCTGAATCGTTTGTGAGATTTTTAAAGATATCTTTCGATATTCCAAAACGCACTTTTCGATGTCACATTTTTCGCCCTTGAAAGAGCATTTATGTTATTTACATTGTTCATATTAACGACGTTTCAGCCGTTGTACGCTCCGGCCTTCTTCAGGTGATTGGAATTTCGAACTGAAACCTTTATTTCGCCCACCGGTGTAGATTATTCTAGTTCCACGTGTCATACCTCTTCCGGATGTTCTTTTATTTTTATGTGCCGTGTCCTTTCAGGACGTAGGCAATTATGGCTCTCCACTCCCCCTATCTCTTGTAGCTCTCAATAAATTTCAACTTTCGGCTGCCTCCCCCCAGACCATGTTCTGTGATCCGTGTGCTTAAACCCGCCTGGAATTTCATGCGTTGATTTCCCTTCGCTCTCTTTCCCTCTATTCGACCTGTGAGTATCAGATTCTCCAGACACTCCTTTCTTATTACGTGTCCCAGAAACTTCAGCTGTCTCTTCCTGATGTTAAGTATAAGACTCCTCCTTGTTTGCATCCTCTCCAAGACCTCATCGTTGATCACACGCTCGGTCCATGATATCTTCAGCATCCTTCTGTAGAACCATATCTCCGTCGCCTCGAGTCTCTTCTACCGGATGTTAACTCCCTTTAACTCAAATTTCCAAGTTTTTATTCAACACTGCCGTAGCCAGGTATTGAACTCACAACCCCTTGGGTCCTGTCACTGGATCCAACCAACGTTTTTATCCACTGGACCTCAAGGACATATGTCCCAGTGGATAAAATAGTTATAAAAGACTCCTCCTGCTGTCATCTAGCTTTACAAGAGCCAATCAGTTATGCCCCACGCGTGATACACGCTTAGGCGATGATGTATCTTTTGATACATGACTGACGAGGCTGATTTTTTCCCGCAGTACGTTGCCATTTCTTTCTGCGATAGACCAGTTGCCATCCAAGTCTATAGAACCCGGTCTATCCTGCAATATACCCATAGCTGCGGAGAAGAGGTTTCATACCTTTCCCAGGGGTATTAACACTTAAGTTAATGTAATGGATTCGACTAGAAAGTCACTCACTCAGTTAAGTGCCATGCGTGATACATGCTTAGGCGATCATTTATCTTTCGATACATGACTGACGAGGCAGATTTTTCCCGGAGTATGTTACCATTTCTTTTTGCGGTAGACCAGTTGCCATACAAGGCTATAGAAAACCTGTCTTGCTATTTACCCATAGCTGTCGGGAGAAGAAGTTTTTTTTTTTTACCTTTCTCAAGGTTGTTAGCACGTAAGTGAATGTAATGGATTCGACGAGAGACAAATCAAGCTAAAAATGGAGTACTGTTGTTATATATTGGCTGTATCTCCCCAGATCGCTCTCTCCAGACTTGATAGAGTCCAAAAGCGGCTCCGTGGCTGACGAATTATTCTTCACCCTTCAACCTCTCTCTCACAAGCGGAGATGTAGCAAGCTTCTCGCTGCTCTGTCCCGGACGAACTACATTCCCTGGTCTCTCCAATTCAAACCTTCACGGCTAGGACACGCCATTCCACTTAGATAGTAGCAAACTACCGATATTCTCTCGGCATTCCATCGGTAAGAAATAAGTTCCATTCTAACATTTTCTTCCCGTGAACCACGCCTCTGGGGAACCGACTCCCAAGAAGATGTCTTCCCCGACCACTAGAATATTAACTTATCGTTCATTCTTATCCGTCTAAATTGCTTCATGAATTAACTCTCTACATCGAGTTGTCCACGGGACTTGTAAACGGTGACCCTTACTGTAAATAAAACCAAAAACGAAGAAGATTTCGTCGGAGTTCCTCCAGTTTCTTTTAGTGTTGGCCATAAGCATTCCTATATTGCACTGAGACACCCGGAATAGGAATTGAACGTGGAACGCGAACAATCTACCCCGATGAACGAAATAAAGAGTTCGGTTCGAAATTCCAATTACTTGAAGAAGGCCGTAGCGGATAACAGACGAAACATCGGGAACATGACAACAAATTTGACGACAAAAGTCTGAACAATATAAATATTTTAAATAAAACGATCTTTAGCAAAAATGCTTCTGAGCACTTTCTGCAGATTAATGGCTTGCAAAATCGGAAACACTGATAAGCATTCTCTTTTAGAATTAAATATTGCCATTTTGGGCTCGCATTCTTTTGCCAACGTTGTGCACGCGACTCTGATTTTAAATACATTCATTATTAAATGTAAATTGTTGGATAAATTTAATTGCCTTATTTCGTTTCTGTCTTGTGAAACTTACCCGCAGAGTGAATAAATAGAAAATAAAAAAAAATGTATTATCTATTTCCAGATATGGATGTCTTCATTGTATAGACACAATCCTTTACTGTCAGATACACGTGTCATTCAAAAATTATACACGATTTCTTTTCTTTCTGTTTCGCTAAACTATTCTAATATTCATTATACGCTTTCATTGTAATTTACAAAATAAACTGTCATGGCAAAAGAAAATAAATAGAAAAGATATTACAGTTTCTGTTTTGTTTTCCCATTCACTTTCCATTATTCGTACGCTGTTTTAAAACAGGGAAATGTTATACGTAATATAAAAATTCTATCTTGTTTTCTTTCGATGGTATTGAGAAATTTTGCTAATCACTGTACATAATAATGTAAGAATAAGATATTCTTTTTACTTGAATAATTGATGAAAAGTGTTATTTAAAACTATTGCAAATTGCGAGTTTTCAGCGAGATTTTAAAAAACGATGAATAGCATTTCAATAAAGTCATTATTTATCCGTATTGTTTCACTTGGTAATTCTCTGTCAGTGCTTACCATTCCAATTCTTACCGATTCTGTTTTCTTTTTAATTCTCTTTTATGTTTCGTCTTTCGAATTATCTTCGTCTCTCTGTGTTAACAGTCCTCTTTTCATTTGCGTTCGATTTCTTCTTTCTTTCTTTCTTTCTTTTTTTTTCTTCATATTTCTGTTATGTTTGCCTACAGTTATTTTCCTTTTTTTTTTCTGTGGTTCTCCATATACGCAATGGGATCTGAAGGATCTTGTTTTAATTTATTTGCATTTTTTTTTTTTATCAATGTAGAAAATTTCGTTTTGTATTATTATTATTATTATTATTATTATTATTATTATTATTATTATTATTATTTAGACTTTTCCATTCGTATTCCTCTGAATATTGATTCCTTTGTTCTCTTATTCTGTTATTCGATTATTCTGAAACTGTCATTTTATTCTTCATTCAATGATTCTTTTTTACTCTATTCTACTAATCTTCATTATTAGCTTTCTTAATGTCATTCACACTCACTCTCTTTCAATTAATTTTGCCTTTCTCGCTTTCTTTCTTTCTTTCTTCTTTCTTTCTTTCTTTCTTTCTTTTTTTCTTTCTTTCTTTCTTTCTTTTTTCTTTCTTTCTTCTTTCTTTCTTTCTTTCTTTCTTCTTTTTTTCTTTTTTCTTTCTTTCTTTCTTTCTTTCTTTCTTTCTTTCTTTCTCACACGAACGCGCAAAAACTCTTTCAGAATTTCGTAGGCATTGTTTCTTGTTTTTATTCCTCCTCCCTTTGCCTCTCTCCTCCTCCTCCTCCTCCTCTCTCTATTTCTCTCTCCTCCCTCTCTCACACAAACACACATTTTATTTCTCTTTATGTGACAAACACACACATTTTATATCACATTTTGCACACATACACGCACGCACTTTCTTTTTCCCTTTTCTTTTTCATATAAATACTTTTCTTTCATTATTCATTTATTTTCAAACTTTTTCACACACGGGATTTCTTCTTTTCTTTTTCTTTTTTTTTTTTTCTTTCACTTATTTACTCTTGTAAACTTATTTGTTTCACACCAATACAGTTTTTCTTTCTTTCCTTCTGTCTTTCACATTTTTCATACAGTTTCTTTTACTTTCCTTCTATTTTCCCTCAGAAACCTTCATTTCCTTATAAACATTCACAATTTTTCTTTATTTATGTTTTTCAAACTCATGCTTTCTTTATTCTTTCTGTTTTTCACATACATTCACACACTTTCTAACAAACGCTGTTTCTTTCTTTGCTTCTCTTTTTCAGACGTGCACTCTTTGACTTCACCTTTTACACCTATGCATACTCTTTCTTTCTTTCTTTCTTTCTTTCTTTCTTTCTCTCTCTTTTCTTCTTCCTATCGCTCACTATCATTTTCTTTAACATTGTGTTTTTTTTCATTTCTCTGTCTTTCCATTTCTCAACCGTGCGCTCCGTTTTACTTCTTTTACAACGTTCAGTTTCAACATTTTCAATATCTCTCATTATCTTACCTTTTTTTTCCATGCCTTGTGCCAAACACTTTCTTTCTGTTTCTCTGTCTCCCTGTCACAAAAGTAGGCATTTTTCTTTTCTCTTTCCTTCTTCCTTGTCCCCGACATACTCTCTTTTCTCACTCTCACACAAAATTCTCTCTCTTCTCTCTCTCTCTTCCACACACACACACACACACACACACACACACACATTGGCTACGTCTATTTCTCACTTTCTCATAAACAAATACGTCATTTTCCTATATTCTATCTCTTACCCATTTTTTGTTATTCTTTTCTTTGTGTTCCTTTCTTTATATCTCACCTACATCTATTACTCTTTCTATCTCACACTCTATATTTTTTTCTCTCTCTCTCTCTCTCACACACACACACACACACACGCACGTGTTGTGTTTTTCATTTTTTTTTCTCCCTCTATTACTTACGAAACTTATTTCTCCCCTCCTCCCACTTCCATCTCACTCTTCATTTCTCTTATTTTCTCATTCACTTCGGATTTTCCTCCGTAATCTAATTTCTATACTCGCCTGATGTATGCACTGATATGATTACATGTAGAACTACTTACTTAGATAGACACACAGATATTACAAATAACTTGCGTCATCTTCCATCCTCCCTGAGACAGACACGTACGGAACCGCCATGATTGATTACTCCCATCGTTTGTCCTTTCTCGTAGATGAATATTACAAATAACCGATACGACTAAATTTGGCGTTCTCTGTTTCGGTACGAACATGAAGAATACGACAACTCTAATAACATTCGCTTCAAAAACAGCCAGTTATTGATATACAGACAACTTTGTTTTTTTCGTTTTTTTTTTTATTCGTGCACACATAGAAGAATTAGTACTAGCTAACGTACACGACTCAGTTAAGAAAACACGCCATTTGGTAGGTGCGTCGAGAAAACGAATTGAAGCGAATTAATAAATTGATTAGCGCAGATGAAATCTCAAGTTACGTCAGAGGGGGTAAGCATTCTAATGCCGAACAAAGTACAGTTGTAAGGGGAAAATTAAATACAACTTTTTTTCTGTGTTACGGATTAGACAGCTTTTACGGTGGCTTGACAAAAGCTTTATGAAGTCATAAAACTTGCTAAAATATCTGCTCATTTTAGTGTCCATATATATATATATATATATATATATATATATATATATATATATATATATATACTGTTTAATAAATAAACAGAGCGTCTACTCAGATACGAGTATCCATTGAAAATAACGTTAAAAGAGATACAATGTCAGACTGGTTGATAAATGTACTGTTATTCCTTTTGAAACTGTTTCGATTGTGTTTGGAAATAAAACTGAGCAGATGTGAAACTTCGAGAATCTGTGACGAGAAGGATTTTGATTGAAGGCACTGTTCAGACATGCTTGATCGACCAATTTCATTGTGACTGATGATTTTGTGTAGGTACGTCGGATTTCGACCATTTCCTCGGCCCAGGAAGACACAGATTCTTTAATAAGATTTCTCGAATATTTAGACCGGTAGACGAAAATAAATAAATAAACTGTTTAATAATGAGATCGTCTACTCAAATACGAGTAGCCACTAACAATAACGTTTAACATAATGGAATACGTGGGATTCGTAGGCAAAAAATTCGTTTACAATAATTTTTTTTAGCACAGATGAAATATCAAGTTACGTCAGAGAGTGTAAACATTCTAATGGCGAACAAAGTACAGTTGTAAGGGAAAAAATAATACAACTTTTTTGTGTGCTATGGAATAGACAGCTTTTACGGTAGCTTGACAAAAGTTTTATCTCTATCTATAAAAGGCAGGATGTGTGGGGTGCGTGTGTCTGTGTAACGAATGCACGGCCTCAATTTTCGACGGATTTGCACCAAAATTTACATGCTTATGCTCCAAATTGGCGGGAAGTCCAAGACCGACTTTGCATTTCACAACTCCCATCGATAGTGGAAATAGTCGATTTTTTCATTCTTCTACGGCAGTTTTCATGTAGTTTGCGACCATTTTCTAAAGGCCAGAGTGAGAGCAAAAAGCTGGCTGCCACGAATAGTCAGGGAGATTCTATTGGTCAGCGTGAGAGCCAACAGCTGACTGACACGAATGTTAACTAGCATGCCAAAAAAATCGATAGCTGCATTCGTCACAAGTGGGAAAAATTTAAATCTGCATGGCACTTTACTCCAATTGGCTCATTCGCTTGCTTAAACTCAACGTTGATCCTGATTCTGCAGAACTGGGTTGGGTGTGAAAAAGTATTTGTTGTTAACATTCTTTTTTCATTCGGTTTTTCCAGTTACGAGTCCTTTTTTAAAGCTGATCGTTTTGTGTTTATTTTGTTTAGTTCTCTTTTTGTAACAGACTTAATGTTTAGTATAGAGCTTAGAAAAATTTCGCAGTGTGAGATAGGCAAGAATTAAGGCATGTAGCAACATCAGCACGGAAATGGGCACTCCTTTAAAGGCAAGGAAGGGAAAAAATATTTTAAGTCAAGTGATAGCGATTGCTGAATGAGTCGTACGATTTTTTAATCAAGCACGGGAAACGTCGGGCCATGCTGCTAGTGAATCATAAAACATATTATATACGCTCAAACAAAATCAGTAACATTCGTATTAATTTGAGCCATAAATAACATCCGTTTTTGTTCAGCTATTCTTAAAAAATAAAGTACAGTTACATTATTTACACTATTCGGACTAATGTCCTCGTCTTTGCTGTCATATTTATCACAACGTTTCGGCTGATGTCCGCTCCGGCCTTCTTCAGTTGGTTGGAATGTCGAACTGAACCCTTTATTTTGCTCACTGGGGTAGACTGTTCTAGTTCCATGTGCCATATCTAATGGATGTCAGTTATCAGTTATCTCCTGTTAATTCACTTCTCCAAGTTCTCCACTGCCTTCACCAGGTATTGAACTCACAATTCATTGGTCCTGTCACCTGATTTAACCAACGCCTTTATCCACTGTGCCATGTGTCCTCATCTTTGTTGCCATATTTATCACGACGTTTCGGCCGTTGTACGCTCCGCCCTTCTTCAGGTGGTTGGAATGTGGAACTGAACCCTTTATTTCGCCCGCTGGGGTGTGTTAAGCTAATCGTTATATACCTCTTATCCTCCTCCTCCTACTCCTCTTTCTCATCATCATCATCACCCCCTCCTCCTCCCCTCCTCCTCCTTCGAACTCGCTATGGTTGGTTGGGGCACCATTGAAAATTCCTTTCCACACTGTTCGGTTCTCTATTGCTGTCCCCAGATCCCCAACTTCCAACCCTGAGTCCTGAGCTAAGGTGTCTGGGAATGTCAATTTTCGTGAGACGACACTTCCCGAAGGATGCCCTAGGAGTAAGGATGAAAACGACCGTGGCTGGTAAAATGTAATCACTTTTGTTTGAGCTTAAGTGAGAATGGTCTCAGTTCTCTGTAAATTGTGTCATGTTATCTATATAATCATTTTTTATCATTTTATTTATGCTTATTACTCGAAACCATTTCCACTCTCACCCTATAACTTGAGTTGCACTCAAATCTTGTATTGATTGAACAATAATATATAAACTGTTTTTTTGGGGGAGTCAATGTTGCAGGAACCGGGAGACTTCTTGAGGGTGAGCTTATAAAGCTTTAAAAAGAATGAAGAAAAAATTCCTCGAATCAATTTTGAGTGTCAACGTCTAACTTGAATGGGGCCTCAAATCTTGTATTGACTGAACAATAATATATAAACTATAATATAAAATATATCATAATATAATAATAATATACTATAATATAATATAAAATGTAATATATGCATGTTGACTTTTTAACCCAAAAGTAAGTCCGTCGTTTTTTGGTGATAACCTATAACGGAAATACTGAATTAGCTGACATTTTATTTTGTCTAGTTTGTAGATTGTCCAGTTTCTAAAAAAAAAAAAAGGCCAATATCACCTGACACCTGCCTAGTCATTATATATACCTATCCCAGTCCCGTTGTTTTTTTTTTCTTTTCTAAATTCAGTCGCTTAACTCAGGTCATTTCTTTCTTTATGCTTCCTCTACCACGTATGTCTACCCTTTCGTACAAGCGTCACTTTGAAAGGTGCTTGTAGTATCAGGTTTTTAGTGTTTATATACAAATGACAACGATCAACACATTTGTCATTTGGGGTTAGTTGAAACTGTCCTTTCGGTGTTTCGGAAGCGAATAATGGCGGGGTTCACACCTGTCCATCTGGCAGTAACATCTGTCTTGACCTCCTACTTTCTTCTATATTCCTGCTTCTATCAGATTACCTATGACAAATAAAACGCAGTGTAAGACGGGAAGTTTAAAAGTTGAAGTATTATTTCCTGACGATATTTGTAAAAATGTCATGAATTTTTAGTCATAAAGTTTTCCAAGGTTTCCAAAAAGTCCAACCATGTACAAAAAACAATTGTAAGAGAAATAAAATAACACTTTCATGTAATTTGCCGTTCGTTGGTGCAAAGAATTACTAAGATTTTATTCCAATACAATTATTATTGGGATACGCTGTGGAAGAGACTCCCAATCGCTACAATTTTAACCTCTTCAAGTCAAGGATAAATCGTTATCGTTCTCTTCATAATCAGCAATCATAAGCCTCTTCTCTTATGTTTATGCAACACACTAGTTCAGTAATCCTATACCTTGAAAAGTTCTTTGGTTTCGTTTAGTTTGTTTTATGGCATATCAACCACAACGGGTTATTTAAGGCAATTTTTTTTTCTGGTAATATTTTTGTTTTGTCAAAAATCTATTTTTGTTAATATTTTTTCATCAAAAATGTATAGCTGGTAATATTTTTTCAAAAACGTATTGCTGGTAATAGTTATCTTCAAAAATTTATTTCTGCTAAAAATTATTTTACAAAGTATTTCTGGTATTAAAACCTATTTTTACACCTTTCTAATGCTTTTTCCCTCAAATTAGGGGTTAACTCTTTGCCCATAGCTTAGACCCTAAGAGGTGCTACCACCCGGGGTCAGGGTGGACCTGGGAACATCAGCAATTAAGAAGTGGTTCCACGCTCCTCAAAGCCTCCTGATCAGAGGCCTTTCTGTTGGACGTAGTTTATCGTCTTACTCTGGACGCGTATGTTGTTTATCGTCATACCCAGGACAGAAAGGCTCTTTGGCCTTGAATTATATTGACAATTAGTTAAATAAAAAAGTAGCATGAATCGAAAACTTTTGCCATAGACAGCGTTCAGCCGATTAAGAATCAACCGCACGTATAAAAATGTAACGTCTGTTTTTCTTTCTGCCTTGTTTATGTCTCCGCCATTTTGAAATGAGAGAAGCTTGGTCGTGGGAATTACAAGTGTTTGCAGCACTGCTTGATTGCAGTAAAGATGACAGCTTAGTGGATAACAACGCCTGCATGAGAGTGCTCATGAAGTGTTGGTAATCCTTTTTCGTGGTCCGTATATATACGTATGGACAACCTCCGTTAAACCAAATATATCAACACAGCTTTTTTACCTCGCCTTCAGGATGCCATCGAAAGTCTAATGTCTATTATCTTTGTCTTGTGTTCGCTTTCGGGCTGTTCACGGTTTTGTAAAGTGGAGGTGGGGGCCGAACTCAATTGATTTTAACCTTACGGCAGCAACACCATCATTGTACTAAAGAGGGTACGTCGGTGAATACCGACGCCAACGTGACAATGGCTGTGGGAAATGTCCCCGTTCCACATGTATACATAACTCATGTTTGATGCTCGAAGATGAATTTTTTTTTATTTTTTATTCCAAGGATATCAGTGGGAATTAAACAACAAAAAAAAAAAAAAAACACGTCGGATTTAACAATGTTTCCTCCTGCCAAGTAGAACGCAGGTCCAAATTCTGCCGTAGGGCGTATCTTTTTCTTTATCGAATATTCAGGCCGGTGGATGAAAATAAACAAATATACTTTGAATAAATCAACGGGGCATTCACTCAAATATAGTAACGTCTCCGTAATAAAATTATAGACTATGTATCCTAAGTAGGTTATTTTTTTTAATTGAAAATGCTTTTGTAGCGTACATACCAAATATAGCGTCGGGTCGATTCACTAAATGTAGCAGAAACACCAAATATATAGGTATGACTACTATTTATATTAAATGATTCTTCCACGTACAGGATTTAAGAAATAATAACAACAACTCCAATTTATTATCCAACAAATATATATTGAATAAAATACAACAACAAACATGAAATAAAATCGTATTCACAATGTAGATTAAAAAGAAAGGGAGTTGCTTCCCTTTAACTGTAGATTGATTGTAATCAACCGTTTGAAGAAAATTCTGTTGTGAGATAAATGTTCCAAAATTATTGTTAGAGCAAAGTTTGCATGTGAAGAATGAATGACACCAAGAATACAATTGCTTGAAATGTGTTGTGAATAAACTGGTTTGAATCAACAAAGTTATGGTTGATTGTGGTTGGCGAAAGTTACAGAGAGAAAATGAAGTTTGTAATCACGAAATTCTGTGTCCGTGTGTGCGTTAGAGTGTGATGAGCAAAATCGTGGGTTTGTGTTGACGGCTAGGATCTTACTGGATCTTAATGGCGAATTGTGAAAAGTCTCCATATTTAAGGAAAAGAGGTAGGCTCTCACAGAACCGCGGGAAAAAATTATCTTTCATTAAAAATATGTGATTTGTTAAAAATTAACCAATCACTACACTCGTACTAAACAGAATAAATAAGTATGCTCAGAACCAAAAGATTCAAAGGAACGACTGCGATGGCTAAATTGTCATATACAAAGGTAGTAGTAATTTATTAGCCAATCGCAGGCGAATAAAATGACTTGGAGTGTATGTGGGTGTGAAAAAACATAGCAAACGCTATACTTTCTTATTTGTGCCTATGCCCTGTTTATTCTATGTAATCTTAGAATATCTAATATTAATTTTTCTTTCTTTCTTTTTCAGGTGAGTACTCGAAGCTATTATTGAATTTTCTTTCGCCAGAGAAAGGTAATGTGAGCCATTTTTATACGAATATTGAGTTACTGAACCTGCGCCGAAAGTCACAAGTTCAGTAAAATAGTGGAGACACATTTATACAATAATAAAATGGAATCAAATTCTAAATAAAATAAATAAGAAAAAATAAAAATAAAAAAACAATCTTCGGAACTGTACGATAGAAAAATGAAAGAAATAGATAAAGTGAAATCTTGAACAAATTTCTCTGCATAGATTTAATTTTAACTTGCGTCCCTACGAGATGAGAGAGTTTTTGTTTTGTTTTATTTTTTTCTTCCGTTGTCGTACATGTTTTCGCAATTGCATCTATGCATGTAAAGCTCGTAAAAACACCAACGTAGTTTATTCAGCTTGTATTTCATTTCCATTATCATGCCTTCCGAATAATAATAATAATAATGATTATAATAATAATGCTGATGGTGATGGTAATAATAATAATAATAAGATGATGATGAAGAAGAGGGAGATTATGATGATGATGATGAAGAAGAAGATGATGATGATGTTGAAGAGGAAGAAGAAGAAGATGATGATGATGATGATGATGAAAGAAGAAGATGATGATGATGATGATGAAGAAGATGATGATGATGATGATGATGAAGAAGAAGAAGAAGATGATGATGATGATGATGATGATGATGATGATGATGATGATGATGATGAAGATGATGAAGAAGAAGATGATGATGAAGAAGAAGAAGATGATGAAGATGAAGATGAGATGATGATGATGATGATGATGATGATGATGAAGAAGAAGATGATAAGAAGATTATGATGATGATGATGATGATGATGATGATGATGATGAAGAAGAAGAAGATGATGATGAAGAAGAAGAAGAAGAAGAAGAAGAAGAAGAAGAAGAGAGTTTTAAAAAAAAGACTACATGAGAAGGAGATTAAAATGGGCATAACTGGACAGGATGGCGATCTACTTAAAATTGGGGTAAAGATTTGTCAGTGTTGAAAGAAAAAAATCTATGGAAGATCCTAATGGCGGAAGTTAAAAAAAAAAATAGATAATATTAAAAACAAAGAAAAACATAGACGTCGATGTCCTTAACATAGGATGATGAAAAAATGTATGGGTAACATTGAAAAGGACAAAGAAAGAATACATACATTTTCCTAATGCACACACGCACACACCCAAACAGGCAAAGGCAAACAAATACTCTATTCATAAACATACATTGTTTAACTTTCGCTATATTCATCGGGGAAGTGTGCTCAATATCGGAGATATGGCGTTTATAGCTCTACAGAATATGGATATAGGAATTGACATAGCATGATACCAGTAACTTTGCATATGTTGATTCCTATGTGCACATTCTGTCTTTACATTAAAAAAAATGCAAATAACGAACCTGCTACTACAGTTTTAGTTTTCTGATCAACAGACAGAATCAGTTATATAATATTCAGTTTATATATATATATATGTGTCATAGCCGAAACTGCCCACATATGTTTATATATGTATGAGTCCCGACGGACGACCAAATATGTATATGTGTCTGCATATATCGATGTTTGCGTTAGTACGACGAAATTTCCCCCACCACTTCCACAATAACACCAATACGCGCAATCTACATAAACCCCATTTTTTTAGAACATTAATCAGTTTGTCTGACGATCGCTAAAGCGTGAAACCCAGGGTCACAAACTCACATCTATCCAACCAAATATATATATATATATATATATATATATATATACACACACATATATATATAAATATATAAAGAATTAATGTATTTATTTTAAATCTGACATTTTTAATACTTCAACTGTTAAATAAGAATGTAGCCCCTATTTCAAACACAGAGTGTCCATTATAATGAAGTTTGACGTAATAAAAAGTTTAATCAGAGTACCTTCTGAGTCATCTTTAAGGAAACTTGTATATAAAAGGGATTTCTGCCCAAATACACAATATATATATATATATATATATATATATATATATATATATATATATATATTTTTTTTTTTTTTTTTTTTTTTTTTTTCTCCCCGTTTATTGTGCATATTTGCACAGTTTAAAAAGAGGAAAAAAAATATATATATATATGTAATATTTATGTATTTATTTATTTAATTTTTTTTTTTCCTTCATACCATTAATCTTTTCATTTTTAAGGTTTTAATTGTATGTAGGATGTGTGCGTGAGTTATTTATATTGCAATTATTGAGAAATAGTTCCCAGTCGACCCTGATGAGCTTGGGAACGAAACCGGTTGGTCTGTTTGTGAGAGTTATCATCTCTTATTTTTTATTTTGTTTCCATAATGCCTTTAAGAAATAATTCATACTTATTCCTTGCAAAATATATATATATATATATATATATATATATATATATATAGAGAGAGAGAGAGAGAGAAATTTTTTATGTCGATAAGTTCTTTTTATAGATACAAATATTTAAGTAAATGCACTGCTTATAATAAACAGTATTAACGACATTTACCGGCCTGAATGTCCGAGAAAGTTTCATAGAAAATATGCGTCCTCTGACAGGAATCGAACCCATGTGGAACCGACGTACTTTTACCGATTGAGCCACAGAGAAGCGTTTCGGTTAGCAAAGTCGAGTTTACTGTTTTTAGGCTACATGACGGTTCCATATAGGATACAGGTTCGGACAGCCAGGCCGGTAAATGTTATTAATACTGTTGATTATAAAACAGAGTATTTACTTAAATATGCGTATCTATAAAAAGAATGCATAAACATAAAAATGTCTTAAATTAATTGTCGGACTTTGTCCATTTCATAATGTGTGACGTCATTTGTTTACATTTGGATACGCATTGAGCAGATATGAATGTATGTAAGAGAATCATGAAAGATTAAAGTTTAAAGGCAGTAAACTCCACCATACCAACCGAACGATCCTCCGTGGTTCGATCGGTTAAGAGCAGGTCAGGCTAAATGACGGTTCCGTATAGGATACAGGTTCGATTCCTGTTGGAGGACGAATATTTTCTATAAAAATTTCTCGGACATTCAGTTCGGTAAATGTTATTAATACTGTTTATTATAAAAACAGAGCATTTACTTAAATATTTGTATCTATAAAAAGAATGTATAAACATAAGAATGTCTTAAAATAATTGTCGGACATTGTCCACTTCATAATATATATATATATATATATATATAGTCTGTCATCCGCAGACAGTGTTTCGTTGCATCACAGCTCATGAAGTTGGCTAGACATCCGATTACTTCAAGCCGAGATCGAAACATGTCTGAAAATCTACCCCTAAGCGATAGCCGCATGGCAGAGAGAAAGGTGAATTTTAGCGTATTTATTGTTTAAATAAACACGCCAGTGTCTGAGAGGACTCAATACAATAGAAGAATCTTGCATTAGCAGCAATAGTAGCCACTGTTTACAAATTCGCGCTTTCTCCCCATAGTGCCCAACTACAAACAATTTTCAGGAGCATATATATATATATATATATATATATATATGTGTGTGTGTGTGTGTGTGTGATAGAAATTATTAGGAGGATTGTATAATTATAATTAAGTAATTCATCGAGTCTGAAAGAAACCTCAACAGAATGCAGAAAGCATTGGACGTTCTTTCGTCCTATATTAGGGATTCATCAGCAGTGCGCATCCACTACCGAGAATTGAAACCCTGACGGTTAGGTTATCATGCAAACGTCATACCATATATATATTAGCAAAAACATCAAAATCGTCTCAATTATTTTGAATGTCTTTTCGAAAGCATTCAGCTTACCATTACTATGAGTAATCGAAATAAATCCATACATCAGCAAATTAAATCATAACATTTCACATCTGCGCATGCGTGTTGCTCATTCTGTCTATATCGGAAGATTGGTTTTAGCCAAGTTATTTCGTTGTATGTCAAACTATATTTTTCTAGTTAATTTCCGTTTTCTCTGTTCTTGTCGTAAATGTATGGAAAAAAAAGATAGGTATCTGCTTGAAGTGTCAGAAACTCAGCTAGAGCAATCAGCGCATTGACTTTATTCAAGATGTATTCCATTGTACATTTTTAATTTTTCTCTGGCTATTCTATCTACTTCCTAACAAATATTAATGTAAAAAAAAAACCCTCCAAAAATTAAGCACAGAAATATACTCGTTACTTTCTGAGCAAAAAAAAAAAAGCTCAAAGATTTCGACGATTATTTATTCTGTCTGTCCTCAGAAAGTTGCATGATGCCACTTCTCGGAGACAATATAAACACAGTCCTCCCACCCCTCCTCCTAATGATCAGTAAAAGAAAAAGTAGAAAAAAAAACGCTCTTTCTCTTTTTACTATCCCGCACACCTTCAAAATCCCTCTTACCCCCAAAACAGGCGAAAGGGCTCCAGTACTCGGTCTACTTGTGAGAAACTGACTAGTGGTTTGAAAAGGCTTTGCTTGATGAGATGCCAACGGACAGAATAATGAGAATGGCGAATTGAGAGGAAGAGATGATCTGGTCTTGTGTGTCAAACTGTGTGCGGGCCTGAAGATTACATGGAGGTTGGCAGCATCATCAATTTTATATCCGTCTTCTTCAGTACATCTGTTCTTGTCAAAATAGGGAACACTGGCGGAACTGCCAGTGCGAGTGTCTGGTGCTTGAAAGGGTTTAATGGGAATACAAACCCGTTGAAAAAGCTGCTGCAACTATTTAAGATATCGCTGGTGATGACAGAAGAACCCATGAGGATTATTGGGTTTAGGGAAAGGGTTTGCTGAATGATAGCGTGAGTGATGTCACTTTGACAGACATGCTGTAACTTTTAAAATCAATGTCAACAGAAGAACGTACAGACAAGTGATTTTAAGTGATGAGTTATCAGAGCAAAAAAATGTCATTGTGAATCGTTAAAAAAAACCTTATGTTTACGATAGAAAACACTTCCTGTTGACTAAGCTTGATCCGGTGTGAAACCACACAGATGCCACGTGTGAAGATTAGGTGGTTCTTCTTCTATGTGCCGTGTCACTTCCGGATGCTAGCGATCATATGGGTCATGTCAAAATATTAATCACTA